AAGAAGGGGATATTCGGGCCCCTTACCTGCTTCGTTGTTTCCACAGGAAGTTCCCGGACAAACCGGGAGGTCTCCCGCCCAGCCCGGGAGATCTCCCGCCCGGCCCGGGAGGTGACGGTTAAGGTGTGTTTTTGAGGGGGCAGTATGTCAGCAAGCTGCCATGGTGTTCTGTGTAACTTCTGATTGTACATATGTGATCCCTGTCCCTGCCAGCTGGCCTATGTGTTTTTCCTGCTGTAATGCCAAAGTAAAACAACTGGAGGATGTGAGGGGGAGAGTATGCTTCGCTGCTAGCTTCTTACTTATCAAGCCTGTGAACTGCACCTGTGTTATGTCTACTGTCTTCTGCTTGTACATATGTGATCCCTGTCCCTGCCAGCTGGCCTATGTGTTTTTCCTGCTGTAATGCCAAAGTAAAACAACTGGAGGATGTGAGGGGGAGAGTATGCTTCGCTGCTAGCTTCTTACTTATCAAGCCTGTGAACTGCACCTGTGTTATGTCTACTGTTCGCCTGGTTCCCAGGACCTGAGCAAGCAACCGTTTTCTCCTGCCCGCCAGCGGGAACGTTATCCATTGGTTGTGTATCTAACTTGAATCCCTTTATCATGTCTGCCCTAACTGCTTGTAGTCAGTTCTAACAAAGAACGTGTTTGAGTATCTTTCCAATGCTTTGAAATAAACTTTACTTTCTTTGAAACGTGGATTTATTCTCGATGCTTGGGGATCCAACAATTAATTGAATTCATCTACCAAAAATTTAAACATCATTTAAAATTTAAAAATACAGCCTCATGTTACATAATTAAAAACTAATCCTTATTTCATGATGAATAACCTTTGGGCTATAATGTATCTTAAATCAAAGACTATCTTTAGATTTTTCCTCAAAATGTATTTTATTTTAAAAATCCAATTTAAATTTAAAAAATCCAATTTAAATAAAAAAATCCAATTAAAAATTTTAAAATCTGATTTTTAAATACCTTTTTAAAAATCAGTGATTTTTATCCACCCTGGTTGTCAGAGAACCTCTGCTTTTAACTGTTTTTTTTAAAATAGCCCTTTTGGTTCCTGAGAAGAATTAAGAACCTGTGGGCATTGCTCATAAAGTCCTAGAAATCAGTCGAAGTTTATGCAACTCTTTGAACTTTGGTCCTCAGGCCTTGTGCTTTCTCCATAACTAGCAGAATAGAATAGATTATGCAAAATAAACACAAGTATGCAAATTTAGGTGGCACAGTTTAACTCATAATGTACCCAGCCCTACATGGAAGACTTTTTGGTGTTCAGAATAATAGAATAATAGAATCATAGAATGTTAGAGTTGGAAGGGACCTTGCAGGTCATGTAGTCCAATCCCCTGCACTCTGCAGGAGTATACTAGGTGGGAGTATAATAGGCAGGGGTCATTTCCTGCAGGAGCGGAGCTCCAGCAGTAAAGAGCCCAGGAGGCGGGCACATGCAACGAGCCCCACCCCCTGCTCCCAGCAGCCCCGGGCCACGAGGAGCACAAGGATCTGCGCATCCCTCCCCCCAATAGCTAGCAATCCAAAACAGCCCAGTGGAGCCTGAGCGGTGGGTGTTGCCTTCTGACACACTTCTGGTGATGTCAGGGGGTGCGGCATATGCAAATGAGTTATCCTAATGACTTATGCTAATGAGCTCCTGCACCTCTTTTTCTACGAAATGACCCCTGATAATAGGTGGGCCTCCATTCTGTTTATGGCACTGAAGTTGTTTGGAAGAGGAAAATTTAGTCATACTATGGCCTCCTCTGTGACAAAGCCAAGAGTGCAAAAACAGTTTGAGATTGTTCAAAAGCACCTGGATTCCACACAGTTGGGGTACAAAGGAGTTGCCATTGAGCAATGACAGAAATGCCTGCCTGAGCTGTCTGCTATTTGGATCTAACCAGCAAAAAATGAACTTTTGCTAGCTAGCAGGGATGGGAATATAATAAAAAAGGGTGTTTCTTATGACAAGAGGGTGTTCTATCTATCTAGTACTGCTCATACAGCTATCACCATAAGCAGAAATTAGAACCACAAATTATTTTAAAAGACCTTACTCAGTACTGTTTCTCTTATATTTGATTATTGCACCTATGATTTTGCCACTGAGAGGGTGACACAATCATTTGTATCCAATAGTAGACATGACACCTGGGCTTGCACATTTAGCAATTTTGTATCTTTAAGTGAAGGGGTTACTAAATTAGCCCTCAACTCATTGAATATAGGGCACGCCATAATCATATGTTCGATGGTTTCATTTGTATCATATGAGCATCTGCATGTTCTATTAGAGTATTACGTCTGCTCTCCAAAACCGCCAAGGGAAGAAAGTCCAGTCTTGCTAAAGTAAAAGCTCTTCTTAGTTTTGGGACTGTAATAAAAAAAATTATTGGGAGGTGGGCGGGGGGGGGGGGGGGGAGGGAGGCAATTCCCAAATGGAGTGAAGAACATATCCTGCGTGTCCTAATAGACGTACTTGTAGCACCCAACTTCTTTACACATTTTTTAATTTTTCTAATAATTGGTGTTTATGTTTTTCAAATGTGCAGGAGGTAGATTGTTATGATTGTATAGTTTAGTATTGTATGCTGTTCTTGCTATACTGGTGCACTACCGTAACATAAATTATGACTTGGGCCTTTGGTCTCTAGATGAGGTTATTCATCAGGAGGGGTAGCCTCTCACGAAGGCAGAGCTGAAGGTTTGCCTTGCAAGCATCCCACTGGGAGGTCCTGGTGCAAACTGCTCAGTGCAGAAAGCTGTTCAGCGATGGGCTTGTGGAATCGAGTGCTTCTTTAATCTGGAGCATGATATTCCTTCTCTGGTCTGGACCAAACATGACTAATCCATATGGAATTCCCTTCCAGGATGAAGATCTTCCCAGGAGGAGACAGCTGGAAAGACGGTGAGGAGTCATCCTTCATAATCCAGTCCTTTTTTGCATACAAATATTAATTTCTTACATTTTTATCCCATCTTTCCTTCAAGGAATTTACAGCAGCATACATCATTCTTCCCATCTCCATTTTATTCTCACAACAACCCTGTGAGGTAGGCTAGGCTGAGAGAGAGACACTGGCCCAAGGTCACCCAATACGTTTCCTGGGTCTCCCACATCCTAGTTGAATACCCTGTCAGCTACACCATGCTGACTAAGCTGCAGAAGGTTCTCTACAACAAGTGTCTGGACCTTTTCCTATACATGAAAACAAAATCTTTTTGTTTAGTTTTATTGTTATACTCATGTTGCCAACGCTCAAAGGGCGTTATGGTTCTTTGACTTGTGTGGCTAGCCAATAAACCACACAGTGAAAACAACCATCCAGGCAGTAAAGGGTAATAAAAAGTATTTATTTGAATAAAGGAGCACCTCACAGCTTGTGGGTGTTCAATTTGTTACAGCCGGGAACTTGCTTATATGCTCTGCTTGCTCCTCCCCACTTTACATCATCACTGATATAACGTAGACATATTCAGTTCAGATTTATTTGTCTGGCCAGTCATCAATCACATATTTGACACCCAGGATGTTGGCTGGCTGCAGTTCAACTCCTGCAATGCAGGTGCAGCTCATTATTTTGATTTACAGTCTTGTTTACTCCTTTTTGCTTTTCCCCCAGACTCCTGTTACCTTTGACTGAACTTTCAGACTCCATTACAAAGTTCTACAAACTTGGTTTTTCTTTACACTTAATACATGTATATAAAAGTATCTTAAAATATTTTATAAACTTATTTTCACTAACAGGTATACAAAATATGAAAACATACCATTACAATGACATTCTAAAACATTAAACTCTTTATATTAATTCTTTTAGTATTAAAAAAATAGCTTGCGGCATAAAGCTCTTGTAGGTGCATTGGTTCTACTTATTAGTTTTCATTTTGGCTTATCAGAATATTTTACAAAATATTTTCTGGTCATTTCATGAAGCTTGTTCTGTTAAAATTGAAGTTTATAATTTGTAAAACACATAGCTCAGTTCAGCCTGTAGGAGACACTGTTCTACAGTACAAATAATTGACTCTTTTTAATTGATGCCAAGGGTCATAATTAATGAATTTCGTTCTTGGCTGAACTTAGTAGCTGGGTACTTCCCTAAAACCTCAAAAGACACACACCGGAACATCTCCCCTCATTAGCTCTTTCAACTCAGTTTCTTTCTACTTATTCATGATTTATGTACTCATGTTCGCAGGGGTCCACACACACCTGCTTGTGTATAATGATTTCTTTCCCAGCATACAGTCTTTTGTCTTAAGCTAACAGAATTTAGAATTGTTGAAGCTTTTGCTTCTTACAAACATCTTATACCATAATCTATATTTAAAAGTGTTACAAACAAAGCAATTAGATCAAGAGAAGAGATTTCTCTCTGTTACAATATATACTAGCATTATTTTACTCCAGTTCGGCTCTTCCCTTTCAACAATTGGCAGTGATTGCAAGCCTTCTGTCAGAACCCACAGCCAACAACGGAGTACACACTTCTTTAGAAAGGTAATACTTTTATTGAAGAGCCATAGATGCATTAACACAGTCACTGTTAAGAATAGCAGTTGCCTCTTGAACCTAATGAGATATAGGGCATTCGTATGCACCCCCCCACTGCGCTGGCCAATTAGGCACCCTCTCACGCGTAGAGCTGGCAGACGTTACTAGACGAAGCTGGGAATTGTGCGGCTCCCACGGTCGGCCTTGAAGGCAGACAACACACATTACCACCTGTACGGCTTTGGAGATTAGCATTTCAGTGCAGAGCAGAGAGAAAGGAATGCGGAAGCAATTTACACAGACACTGAAAGAACATCCCAACCCCCATGGCAGCATAGCTGACACCTTCCTAGTTAGCATTACTAGCAAGCAAAGCTTTCTGTTATTCCAGTTAAAAATGCAAACCGTGTCTTTTCTTTTTTTATGATTCAACATCCCCAGCTTAAGGAGTAAAATAGCTTGGGTTTCCCTTATTTACTAAAACTCAGAGACCACTGCGTCTTAACTATAGGCTTTCATTCAGAGTTGCTTTCCAGAAGGCAAAAACTGCTTTAAACTTGTCACCTGGCTGGCAAATTGTGCCAGGGCAATGACCGAAATTGGCAGAGACTTTAACAAGGGAGGAATACACCTGGAGTTCAAAGAACAAACCTCCTTATTCCTTTGAAGTAGCAGGATTTTCATAATAAATCTTCAGACACTTGACAGGTCCTAAACGTTGGCTGAATTAATGGGCAAAACACCTGCAATAATTCCCCAATTAAAAGGTTACATCACAAACACTCCTTTTCTGGGGGGCGGAGCGTCGGCTTGGATGGAAGCAGACGGATAGAGATCGAGCTCCTCGCTGAACTCCCCCAATACGGCAAATAGACACTCAAATATAACCAGAACTCCTCAGGTAATGGGCAAAACCCACGGAAGAAATAGGTCAGAAGCACTGGCATCTTCAAAAGCTCTCAAATCGTTCTTAAATGGAGAAACTTCTTCTCGCACCAAACCGAGAGCCCTGCATTTCGAAAAGAAAATGGCCGCCGGAACCACACCTACAGGTTCAAATACCCAAGAACTACTTACCACAGCTGAATTTCATGCTAGTTTGATATCATTTAGAGCGGACATTTTCTCTACTTTTCAAGAATTACTGAAACCACTTACCGACCAGCTCGAAAATCTTAAAGTGTCGGTACACGATGCAGCTACAACAGCGGAAACGGCAATGGAAACCGGACTTGCCAACCAAGACAGCATTCAACGCCTTGAAGCACAAGAAAAATGGTCCAAAGATAAAATCATCTCGTTAGAGAATAAGCTCCGAGAATGCAACCTGAAACTTAGAGGCTTCGAAGACAAAGCAGAAGAAACAACCGAGTTATCCTCATTTATTGCCTCATGGCTTGCTACGACAATGAAACTTGAAGACAACGTGGCGCCGCTAATTATAAAGGCCATAGATTAGGCTCTAAATTTTCACAACCAATGAGAGCGTTTAGGGACATCATAATAGAACTAGCAGACCTTCGCACTAAGCGAAAAATCTTAGACTTCGCCCGCAGCTCTGGAGGCTTTACCTTCAAGGATAAACCTATACAGATCTTCCCGGACATTTCAGCAGAGGCACTACAGCTTCGGAAAAAATTGAAACCTATTACTTCCCAACTTATGGACGCCGGCATCCAGTACAAATGGCTATCTACAGGGGCCATACAACTACGACACCACATCAAATCCTGGACCATCGATGATTTAGAAGGAGGAGGACTAGTTCTAAAATCGCTCCGTTTACAAGTGCCAATGGAATGCGACAAGACCTCGAATAAAAGAAGATGGGAATCCACTTCTCCGGTGAAAAGCAGTAAAATCCCAGTGCGGTCTCCCATAGAACACCCTTAACCGGGACTTATTTCTCGCTTGGGACTGTATCTAATCTGATCTAAGTTTTGCATGACTTCATTATGGTTTGATGCCATTCTGGTACGTCTTATAAAATTGGGGGAGGGAGGGTTCAAGAGGATAGCTTGCTCTCTTAGCCTCGGTCGGTAGCGAGGGAATCCCTTAGGAAGAGCTGCTTAGGCTCTGTTTGGAAGGGAAGGGTTAAATTACTCTTTTCGCTCCAAACCCAAGAGGTTGTTTGTTTTTATTTTCGCAGTGCGCTCAGTTCCATTTGTTAATCGGCTTTGTCTTTATCTGCACTCGCGTACTTAACATTCACTTCACTGTTATGGGGAGGGAGGGGGAGGGTGGGAGACGGGGTGTTGGGTTGTGGGAGGGGGGGCGAACTGTTGATCTGTGCTGCTTTGCTGAATTTCATGGGCGGGAGGTGGGAAAACAGGAGGGGGGGTTTGGTTGGAGAGTAGATCCGTCCTTCTTTGTAGTTCTACTTGTTATCTTAGCTATAACTGTCATAGACATACTGTACAGTAATTTTTATAATAAGTTCTTAACTTTAGATAGGTTCATTGGAGGAAAAAGAACTGAACACTTCTGGCCATCAAAGTTAATACAAATCGTACCCATGGAACATTGGCAAATATCTGGGTCTATCTCTGCTAACATACATTTTAATGGCTGCTAAACTGAAAATCTTATCACTAAATTGTAATGGTGTCAATAATGCAATCAAAGCTAGGAGATTGCATGATCACCTTAAGTCACTTAGAGTGGACATAGCATTTATATTAGAGTCGCACTTGAAAAATGATAATAATATTCTTTTAAAATCAGGATTTTTCCCACACAAGTTCACTGCACACGGCTCGTCTAAAGCACGCGGCGTGCTTCTTCTGATCTCAAAGCACAACACTTTCTCATTACTGGATTCGATTCAAGACCCAAAGGGTCGATTTCTAATTGTTAAGGGTATTTTAAATGAGGAAAAAATAACCTTAGCAGCAGCCTATGCTCCGAACTCAGGGCAACTTGGATTTGCTAAAGAAGTTTTTGATATTATTCATAACTTCCAGGAAGGCCCTCTCCTAATGGGAGCTGATTTAAACTACATAATAAATTATCAGCTTGACAGGAAGTGGCTAAATGCTAAACCCAAACTTGTGCAGACACATCAACACAGCAACACTGGGCTGGCAAAAATACTTCAAAAATATTCTTACTTAGACGCATGGAGATTTCTCCACGCGCAGGACAAAGATTTTACCTATTATTCCAAACGGTTCCACTCATACTCAAGAATTGACTACATTATAATTTCTAAAGATCTTTGCAATGAATTAATATCTGTAGACATAGAACCAAAATGTTGGTCTGACCATGCAGCAGTTTGTTGCCAGTTACAATCAAAAAAGGCAACTGACAGAGCATACACCTGGAGAGTCGATAACCTTTTATTGAAAAATCCAAAGGTTGTTGCACAAATCAAACAGGAAACAGACGAATTTTTTAAATTCAAT